AGCAATCTTCAATTATTACAGACAAAATTTTAATGCATCTCCGAAATTCCACTAGTTTTGCAAACCCCTTTTCATAATACTATCATCAAATAAATCTATAGTAGTGTCACCAATCCATAATTATACTGCAATTTCAAAAATAAACCCATAAATATCCATGATATTTATATCTATATAGTTTGAAAGATAAGTAACATTTATTAAAATTGCTTATTAAAAATTACAGTCTCATATGAGTATTATTTATAGATTACTTACATTTGATACCAATAATCAACCTTTTATAAATCTCTCAAAATTTCAATTCCATTTCTATAACAATAACCAAGTTGAGACATTCCATCAGCATCTCCAATCTCAGCAGATTTTTGATAATTAACGAATACCTTATTAACTATTACCTTCTATAATTCTCTTAGCCTAAAAATAGAAAAATGTTGCTTATTATGCTTGAGAAACATCATTTGTTTGATCATGCCCGGGTGGAGTCTATTACGCAATGCTGTAATATGCAATCCAGTATCTGAAAATACACGCTCAAAAGGGACTGAAGTAGATGGAACTGATAGATATTTCTGAGCCAATTTTGATAACATGGGATATTTATCTGCATTATCCCACTACCATGTCAAGGTGTCACATTTTCTTTTTTGAATAGGCTCATGAATATAACGATCAACCTCACTCTCTTCACTTATAGTGCCTGAGTCTTCATTATTATACAAATCTGCCATTAAGTTATTAGAAATTGAAACATTAAAAGGTTCAGCAACACTATCATTTCTTGAAATTTCTTCAATCAAAGGTTGGCGATGTTCTTCCTCTGAACAAAGCCTTCGCACTGTGCTGATTGTAGTTATTCTTATATTCTCATAATCAATAAACTTCAAATTCTTTATTCGTGGATCTAAAAATGATGTGATAAGTCCAATTTCATCAGGAACTTCCCAATATTCTTGGAGAGAAAAGTAACTCGCAGCTATGACCAGATTATGCAATTTCACACTAGTAACAGGCGGTTCTATTACACAACAATTTTTAAATTTTGAATCATTATGTTGTTTAGGTGTATTTTTTTGGCTTTTCTATTTTTTTTTTTGCTCCTGTGATGTGCGTAATGGTTTCCGAAGTTGCTCTAAAATGCTTGGTGCTTCAAATTCATACTCTATATCTGATTCAGAAGAATCTTCTTCATTAGCAATAAATTGGCTTTGATTACTTATTTGTTCTCTGGGTCCAAATAATAAATCGGCATAGTCATCCTCAGTTTGATTATCAGAGAGTGCAAACTTTTTAATAATAAGCTTCATTGTTGGGTAAACAAGGTTGAACGTAGGATAATTGGAGCCAGAAAATACAGTTATAGCATCATAAAATGGTTTTAATAATAGAATAAGACTGTCTAATAATTGCTATTCATTTTCGGTTAGATTTATTAAATTCAAATATTCACTATTAAGCTAGTCACAACATTCTGATTCTAATGGCAGCATAAGAACAAGATAATTTATCGCTTTTCGCAATTCTTTAAGCCTAATCCAGGCCAAGTACAAAGAGTTCCATCTCGTTGATATATCCTTAATTACCTGATAAATTGTTGTATAATGACACTTTTCTTGTGCATCATTAAGCTGTTCAGTTTGTTTAGGACTTTGGGAAAAAAAAATAAGATTTTTTGCACATTTAATTAATTGTGCTACAGGTTTAAGACCATTTAATACGCTTAACTGTAGCATATTGGCAGAACAAGCTGCTCGCCTAATATTATTCATTAAACCAATGGCTTTTTTAATATTAGGGCCATTGTCAGTTGTAATACAAAAAACCTTTTGGTTAGCCCCCATTCGATAATAACTTGATCAAGTGAACTTTGGATATTTTCAGCCATATGAGGTGACGGAATTGGTTTGATTGTTAATAAAACCTCCTTTAATATAAAACTTGAATCAATCTACGTCACTGTAACTCCGATGTATCCTTTATTTGTTCGTGAACTCTACAAATCTGTGGTCAAATTAATAAATTCATCATTTATATTCATTATACCAAATAATTGGTCATGGCTCCAATCATAAACTTGATTAATCATTTTTTTTGTGATCATTTCACAGAGAATCCTAAATCCAGGTTTTAAATCATTTAGAAATCGGTGAAAAGATTGACAACGCAAAATATTTAAAGGTTGACAATCTTCAATAATAAACTCAACCAAACTTTGCACCAGTTTCTCTTGTCGACGTTTGGTAATAATATGCATAGCCTTAACAATTGGTCCATCCGTGTTCATTCCATCAGGATGATCTTTATCAATTCAATGCTTGGACCAGAGGTGGCCAAGCATATTTCCGGTTGAAGAGTTATGTACATACTTTACTGTAATGTTTTTTCTTTACATAGTTGACAGAAATCAAAAAAACCTTTTGTTATTTCTTCAGTCTTAAAATAGTCCCATGCAATACTATAATTGTCTCGCTTTTTTTTTTTTTTTGGTTTTTGTGTTTTCTTTTTCTTTATAAGGTTCATTATGTATAGGCAATTCATCATTCGCAGAGGGTTCATTATTTGTAGGTGATTCATCATTTGTAGGTGATTCATCATTCGTAGGCAATTCATTATTCGTAGACAATTCATTATTCATAAATGGTTTATAATTTCTAGGTGACCCTCCATAAGAATACGTATCATCATCCATATAATAATCGGACATAGTAAAGCCTTTATTTTGTCTTTCTTGATTTAGGTTTGGCCTTTTAAAATATAATTTATTATTATCTTCGATAATAAATATTAACATTTTGACTTAAAAAAACATACCTCTTTGTTCTTATACACAG